AGAAAGAGGGAGAGAAGGAAATAAGGAGGGAAAGGTAAAGAAGGAGAGAAGGAAAAAAGGAGAAAGAAAGAAAGAAAGAAAGAAAGAAAGAAAGAAAGAAAGACTTCTTGCTCCTCATGGCCAGGGGGTGCTGAGAGCAGGGGGTGGGGCTTGTTGTATGTGCCCGCCCCCTGGGCTCTTTACTGTCGGAGCTCCGCTCCTGTGCACTCCTGCAGGAAATGACTCCTGAACATAACACATGAGGCACTTCTGGGAGCTGTTGATCATAAGAACATAAGAACATAAGAGATGCCAATGTTGGATCAGGCCAAAGGCCCATCCAGTCCAACACTCTGTATCCCACAGTGGCCAGAAATACCAGTGCCATCAGGAGGTCCACCAGTGGGGCCAGGACATTAGAAGCCCTCCCACTGTTGACCCCCCCCAAGCACCAAGATGACAGAGCATCACTTGCCCCAGAGTCCCTATCTATACCTTGTGGCTAATAGCCACTGATGGACCTCTGCTCCATATGCTTATCTAATTCCCTCTTGAACGATCATGTCACCCCTCAGTCGTCTTTTCTCCAAGCTAAAGAGCCCTAAGCGCTTTAACCTTTCCTCATAGGGAAAGTGTTCCAACCCTTTTATCATTCGAGTTGCTCTTTTCTGCACTTTTTCCAAAGCTATAATATCCTTTTTAAGGTGTGGTGACCAGAATTGCACACAGTATTCCAGATGAGGTCGCACCATTGATTTATATAGCGGCATTATGATATTGGCTGATCTGTTTACAATACCCTTCCTAATAATCCCCAGCATAGCATTGGCCTTCTTTATTGCAGTCACACACTGTCTCGACATTTTCAGTGAGTTATCTACTACAACTCCAAGATCTCTCTCTTGATCTGTCTCTGCCAGTTCAGACCCCATCAACGTGTATTTATAGTTAGGATTTTTGGCTCCAATGTGCATCACCTTGCACTTGGCCACATTGAACCCCATTTGCCATGTTGACGCCCACTTGCCCATCTTTGACAGATCCCTTTGGAGTGCCTCACAATCCTCACTGGTTTTCACCACCCTGAACAACTTCGTATCATCCGCAAATTTAGCCACTTCACTGCTTACTCCCAACTCCAAATCATTAATGAACAAGTTAAAAAGCAGTGGACCAAGTACTGATCCCTGTGGTACCCCACTGCTTACACCCCTCCACTGGGAGAACTGCCCATTTATACTCACTCTCTGTTTTCTATTAATTAGCCAGTTTTTGATCCATAAAAGGACTTGTCCTTTTATCCCATGATTTCTGAGCCTTTGATGAGGAACTTTATCAAAAGCTTTCTGGAAGTCAAGGTAAACAATATCTATTGGATCCCCCTTGTCCACATGTTTGTTCACCCCCTCAAAGAACATTAACAGGTTAGTGAGACAAGATCTTCCCTTACAGAACCCATGTTGAGTCTGCCTCAATAGGTTTTGTTCATCTATGTGCCTACTAATTCTTTCCTTAATAATGGTTTCCACCAATTTACCCGGTATCGACGTCAGACTGACAGGCCTGTAATTTCCCGGATCTCCTCTGGAACCCTTTTTAAAGATGGGAGTGACATTAGCTACCTTCCAGTCCTCAGGAATGGAGGCTGATTTTAAGGAGAGATTACATATTTTTGTCAGGATCCAATCCCTGCAAGCCACATAACATGCGTAGGTCACCACAGATGAAGTAAACTACTTTGTGGTGAATGTTGAAGTAATCCTTTACAGTGGGAGCCTATATACTATTGGGGAAGTGGGGACAGGCTTGTTATTCAGGAATTGCTTCACTGCGCTAATTAAGCCAATCCTAGATCACCCCTGACGGAGTGAGCTCCCGTCTCTAGTTCCAGCTCCTGCCAACCTAGCAGTTCCAAAGCAAGAAATTGCAAGTAGAAGAAGAGAAGAAGAGATTGGATTTATACCCCGCCCTTCACTTGGAGTCTCAGAGCGGCTTACAAACTCCTTTCCCTTCCCCTCCCCACAACAGACACCCTGTGAGGTGGGTGGGGCTGAGAGAACTCTGACACAAACTGCTCTTTTTCAAGGACAGCTGTGCCAGAGCTTGCGACTGACCCAAGGTCACATCAGCAGGTGCAAGTGGAGGAGTGGGGAATCAAACCCGGTTCTCCCAGATTAGAGTCTGCGCACTTAACCACTACACCAAACTGGTGTAGATAAATAGGTACCCCTTCAGTGGGAAGGGAACAGCGTTCCGTGCACCTTGGTGTTTAGTCATGCCGGCCACATGACCACGGAAATGTCTTCGGACAGCGCTGGCTCTTCGGCTTGGAAACGGAGATGAGCACCGCAACCCTAGAGTTGGATTCGACTGGTTTTCGAGCAAGGGAACCTTTACCTTTACCTTTAGATCACCCCTGCAGTAGCTCCTATTCTGTTGGTTGTTGTTGGTTTTGACCACTGAAGTCTTAAACAGTTCAGGCCCTGAGTACCTGAAAGACTACCTCCACCCATATCAATAGGGTTGCCACCCTCTAGGTGGCACCTGGAGGTCTCTTGCTATTACAGCTCATCTCCAGGTGACCAGGATCAGTCCCCCGGAAGAAAACGGCTGCTTTGGAGGAGGGACTCTAGGGCCTTATACTCTGCTGAGGCCCCTCCCCTCCGCAAATCCCTCCCTCACCAGGCTCCACCCCTCAAATCTCCAAGTACTTCCCAACCCAGAGCTGGCAACCCTACATAGCAACCAACCTAAGAGTTGGGTTTCCAACTCTGTTTGGAAATTCCTGGAGATTTGGGGGTGGGTTTAGGGGAGGGCAGGGTTGGAGGAGGGGAGGCACCTCAGCGGGATATGGTCTGGAAGTAGCTCTGGGCTGGGGGCTGCCTCCCCCCGCTTGCTTTTCTAAAGCTTTAGTTGGGCTTATTTTTATAAGAACATAAGAAACGCCAATGTTGGATCAGGCCAAAGGCCCATCCAGTCCAACACTCTATATCACACAGTGGCCAGAAATACCAGTGCCATCAGGAGGTCCACCAGTGGGGCCAGGACATTAGAAGCCCTCCCACTGTTGACCCCCCCCCCCAAGCACCAAGAAGACAGAGCAGCCCTTGCCCCAGAGTTCCTATCTATACCTTGTGGCTCATAGCCACTGATGGACCTCTGCTCCATGTGCTTATCTAATTCCCTTTTGAAGCCGTCCATGCTTGTAGCCGCCACCACTTCCTGTGGCAGTGAATTCCATGTGTTAATCACTCTTTGGGTGAAGAAGGGCTTCCTTTTATCCGTTCTAACCCAACTGTTCAGCAATTTCATGGAGTGCCCATGAGTTCTTGTATGGTAAGAAAGGGAGAGAAGTACCTCTTTCTCGACCTGCTCTTTCCCATGCATAATCTTATAAACCTCAATCATGTCACCCCTCAGTCGTCGTTTCTCCAAGCTAAAGAGCCCCAAGCGCTTTAACCTTTCCTCATAGGGAAAGTGTCCCAACCCTTTTATCATTCGAGTTGCCCCTTTTCTGCACTTTCCCCAAGGCTATAATATCCTTTTTAAGGTGTGGTGACCAGAACTGCACACAGTATTTTTCCTGGTTCCCCAGTGGGGCAGAGGTTGAAACATGAGAACAGTCTCATCCCACAAGGCCAGCAGCAAGGCTGGTAGTGGTGGGGGCACGCCTGGTGCAGCAGGGGTGGGGATGATGCCACGGAGGCAGACTCCAGCGGGGGACAGTCCATCCAGAAGGCCGAGTTTGCTGGAGGCAACGGGAGGGCGGGATCTCTGCAAGGTGGGAAGGGCCTGGAGACCCAGTAGCCTACTGGCTATCCTGCCTGGTTGCGAGGAGGAGTGAGGAGTCAAAGGGCAGGGCAAGGACCAGGATGCAGGCAAGGGGAAGCAGTAATGAAGGCCATTGAGCTCTTAGGCCAGGGATTGGCCAAGGCACTAGCCGGGGCGGAACCTGGCTCGGGATTGGGTGCCAGCAGAGGTTAAAAGGGGGACTCCCAGTGATGGCCAGGGAGGAGAAACAGGCTCAGGTCAAGGCTGTGAGAGCTGCTGCTGCCTGTGGAAGAGAGGAAGGTGGTGAAGAAACCCCCTCTGCTTCCAGTTCTGAGGCCTAGGGAGGACACAGAGCTCACGGCAAGGTGCTGGAGAAGTGGCTGGGCAAGCGTGGGAAGGAGGAGTGCCGGAGGTCTAATGCCATAAATTCTACTGTCCAAAGCAGCCATTTTCTCCGGAGGGACTGATCTCTGTAATGTGGAGATCAGTTGTGGTTCTGTGAGATCTTCAGGTTGCACCTGGGGGTTGGCAACCCTGTGATGGCCAGAGGGTCTTCCTCTGGGAGCCAACCTTGGCAGAGACGGAATTGGTGGGAACTCGGTGGGGATCTTTTTGAGCTGCTGCACCTTTACTCTGGAACTCCGCCTTGCAGGAATTGAGAACGGCTGCTTCTATAAAGGCCTTTCAGATGGGATGGCTGCCTCCTATGGAAGACCTCTAAGCTGTATCAATAAGAAATGGGTTGGCAGGGGAAGAGGCACAATAGGACGACTGTATTTTATTGATATTCAGGGAGTTCCTCACTGGGAATTCCTCCCTGTGGATACGTTTCTTAAAATGCCCCTTGGATACTGTTTGTTCTTGGCATATAGAGCCACAACTATAACAATCTTTTATACCTTAGGAATGAAAGATCCAAGAATAGTCACATCCTGCAGAGATTGTCTAGGGTTCCCAGTTAATAAGATAGTTTTGAAACGCTGGCTCTCGTGAATCGTAGCTAAGGTGTAGGGCAGTTTCTTCCTATCTTGATAGCCGATTGTTTGGGAGGAACCGAAAGCATCTTCCATCTCCTTCTGGACTTTCTCTGGGGAAAATGTTGGAAAACATAAGATTTGTTTTGAGCAGTTCACTTGTCTGCGGAAAGTTGAGCCATCAGTAAGAAATATTTATTCCATCTGAAATTAGTTCATGTGGTTACATTAAAGATACGCACTGAATGGTAGCAATAGATAGAAGAGCCTGACCTCTTAAGGAAGACACATTTTCTCCCTGCTAGAAGTAAGAAAAGAATCTGGAGAAAAAGGAAACCGGAGCTGCCTAAACTCAAAGTAAAGCTGATTGCTCTCGGCCTTGTCCATTTAAACAACTCACTTCTTGTTAATTTCCGATTCTGCATTTCCTAGATACCAGTGCATTGTCCTGCATAGTAGATTTTAACCTTTAATCCAATACTGCCTAACCAGGCATGCAACAGTATCACTGAATACTCCACAAGGAACATTGTTGCTGTTTTTAAAAAAGGACATAAATACAACTTTCTAGGCCAAGACAAGGCCATATATTTTGAAAAAGAGAGCCGTACGTACAAGAGCTGTGGGCACAAGCACTTAGAAGAAGAAGAGATTGGATTTATACCCTGCCCTTCACTTGGAGTCTCAGAGCGGCTTACAAACTCCTTTCCCTTCCCCTCCCCACAACAGACACCCTGTGAGGTGGGTGGGGCTGAGAGAACTCTGGCACAAACTGCTCTTTTTCAAGGACAGCTGTGCCAGAGCTTGTGACTGACCCAAGGTCACATCAGCAGGTGCAAGTGGAGGAGTGGGGAATCAAACCCGGTTCTCCCAGATTAGAGTCCGCGCACTTAACCACTACACCAAACTGGCTTAGTGGTATACCTGATTTCCTTAGTTGGCTGCTAAAGAGATTGTACTAAGTGGCCTCAAGGAAAAGGACTTGGTATGAGGGTTCCCAATCTCCAGGTAATGGCTGGAGAGCTCCCATTATGACAACTGATCTCCAGGTGATAAATATATCAGTTCCCCTGGAGAAAATGGCTGCTTTGGAAGGCAGACTCTGTGGCATCATTCCGCATTTAAGTCCCTGCCCTCCCCAAACCCCACCCATCTCAGGCTCCGCCCCAAAACCTCTGGGTATTTCCCAACCTGGAGTTGGCAACCCTAACTCTTATGTATGAGAAAGTCAGCTTCGTTGTTTCTGCCGGGCAGATCGTTACAGGGCAGCAACTCCAACTCTCTCTTTCCAATACTGTCTCACACTGTTTGCAGTGTTCTGTTTTTCCCCCACTGGTTAAGCCTGGTAAGAGTTTCCTGCATTGCTGCCCTCTTGCCATGTATTGGGGAACTCATTGCTTACTAGCCACCGGATTGAATTGTGAAGTCCTGGCCTCCAAGCAGATAGTACAATGGAGTCAGGCACAAAGGGACTTATTCCTGGTGCTCTTATATTCCCAGGACAGTGCCCACGTTCAAGGACTGGGCATCAGTTGGGATGCCTGGAGGTCCCTTCCGACTCTATGATTCCATGACCAGAACTTCCAATCATGAAAGAAAAGTAGGCCACCAGTGCACAAGGTTTAGGTACTCAGAAGACTCTCCAAAATTCTTTTGTAAATTAACCGAAAAGTATCCTTTCCCTAAAAAATGGGCTGATTATTCCACAGCCTGCTACTACAAGAGGCACAGAATTCCGAAAGCAGCAGAGAGTCAGTATAAGTGGGGGAGTGAGCAGTTAGTGGGAAATCAGTCTGTTCAGTAGATCTGAGGCCTGGGTTATGGATCAATAGAAAAGAGTAAGGGTGATTTCCCACAATCGCTGCTCCGCGCTCACTCCTCCCTTTTGCCCCGATGGTACGTGTCAATTTCACACAAGCTGCTGCGCCGCCGCATTTTGCCCCGCAGCTTCGTGCGATTTTCCCCGCGTCTACTCAATTCTCAAAAAACAGGATTGAGTATACGTGGGGAAAATCGCAAGAAGCTGTGGGGCAAAATGCAGTCGCGCAACAACTTCTGTGAAATTTGTTGTAAAATAGTCAAAATTGTTTAATACTCAGACTATTTGATGGATCTTGCTCTATTGGAAAGAAGAGATTTCTTTGCTTTTAAAAAACCTTTATTACTAAGGGTAAAGGGTTCACGGGATTACTACAAATTAACATAACACTAACAGCTACATTTCTAAGCTGCCTATACTGAAGACAAGCACACACATAATGGAGATTCTCTCCTTCTTCTTGACCCCTAGAAAGGAAGTCACCTGAAACAAATGACCAATCTGTATCACAGTAGAAGCTACTTTTCCCGGGCTAATTCCCCATTGGCTTAGTGCCAGTTATCTCTTCCAGGTCAGTCTAAACAATAGCAAGACTAGGAATACAAGTTAACCCTATAATGACTGAATCAGACCTTGTAAACACATACATTTCCAACAAAATTGACACGTACCATCCGGCCAAAGAGAAGAGTGAGTGCGGAGCAGCGCTTGTGGAAAATCACCCTAAGAGTCCAGTAGCATGGTAAAGACTAACAATGTTTGTGATAGGGTATGAGCTTTTGTGAGTTGCTGCTCACTTCTTCAGCTATGGCTAGAATGTGAGTCCATCTGTCCTATATATTGCAAAGTGGAGTGGTTTCAGATGTCAAATGGCATTAGCAGGCAAATGACAACAGAAGGTGTGATTGGATTAGGTATGATATGCAGAGAGGTAGTAGGTGTGGAGAAATCAGCATTGGTAGGGAGACAAGAAACCTAGGTCTTGATTCAGTCCAGGTTGGATGCATTGTCTTGAGCTTTGTTATCAATTGCAGCTCAGCAGACTCTCTTTCTAATGTCCCTTTGAAATTCCTTTGTAAGATAACTGCTAATTTTAGCAGTAGAAAAAAGTAAGAGTCCAGTAGCACCTTAAAGACAATTATATTTATTGCTTAGTTACTTATGCATCGTGACTCTACTTAGCTGTTCTTGGTAATGCCCTCCCCACCCTCCATCTATATCTAATGGTTGGTGACTTCTGTTTCGATATACTTCATTCTAGCAAGACATTATACAGACCTGGAGTGGAGAAAAATCTATTTCTACACAAGAAACATTCCCCATTATTCATCCTCCCACCAGTTCTACACAGATTCTCAGCTTGTGCTGATGTATTAAGCAATGCTCCCTCTAAGCTGTGGAGTCCTGTGAGCAAAATTTCTACTTTGTGAGTTACTGGCATTAAAGTTGTGAGTGAGCGATTTGGCTGCTGCATCAATTAGTTTGTCTGGAGCCATCCTTCCTGAGCTAAGACAAAACGTGTCAGCCGAAGGCTAAAAAACTGTGCGTTAGCTCACACTAACTCAGCTTAGAGGGAACATTGGATATGAACTCTTTAGCAAGCTGCTAAGAATAGAGTGGCACTTGTCTACATTACATAATTCTTATTTACCTTGGATATCTGGATGAGTCACCATGAGAAGAAGGCCCCATTGCAGGGTGGCGCTGGTTGTCTCTGACCCAGCAAGAAGTAAATCGGAAATACAGTAAAACAGGTTGGTATCATCATATGTTGAAGTGGGGTCATTCTTGCTCTGTTATTGACAACAGGAAATAAAATTACATTGATGTTTGCTTCAGTTCCCAATACCCCATCCCAAAGACCCGTGAATTGTTTCTAGAGAGAAGGGAGAAGGATATAATGGGATGGAGTCTACGATCTGAACAATGAAAGAGCTGTCGGCTGTTTTTTCATCCAGAGATATAAGGCTGTGAAAAAAGTACAGGAGAAGTGTCAGACCAGTACAGGCCAATGGGGAAGTTAAAAGGTCCAAGAGGAAAGAAAGCAGAGATCTGTTGTGTTTCGTTTTGAAAAGAGAATTGGATTGTGTGGCTTTAACAATCGTGTAATTTTAAAATATTAATCATGCATTCCTGTTAACTCCAGTATCACTGTGGTTGTGGCCATAATTAGAACTGTTCAATGTTTGTTTCTGCCTTTTGAATTCTTGTATATTAGTGGGGTGGAGTTCTGAATTCACATTTTGATTGGGAGTATGGAACCAAACGGTATCAAAAGTTCTCGATGTTCCACTATCGGGTGTGAAAGAGGGGAGTTGTGTCTGCAATGTTACATGTTGTACAGTGTGAAGAGTGCGAACTATGTACATTCCAATGCCCCTCCTCCCTGTGATAAGGGTGGAATCTGCATTTGTCTTCCCCATCGGTGTCCGTCTTCAAAAAAGCTGTCTACATTTGGTGTCGTTTTCACACCTCAAGAGTGCTAGCGTAGTTCGTCCACATATGTTTATCGTCCTTTGGGGCGGCTCCACTGTCATTGCGCCTCCACACTGCTTTAAAGGAGTCTTCTCCGAACAACATTCAAATGAGCATAGAGAAAGACGGTGTCACAGCAGCATGAAACTGATTTAAAAATGCAAATGCAGATTCGGCCTTAGTCTGGCATAATGACACATTTCCCGTGTTCCTGTTATTCAAAGCGCCTTTCATTAGCAGGTCTGATTAACAGTGTGACGGAGTGGTTCACTGGCAACACAGAAAACTAATTCTGCTTTTAGGGGTACTGTCTATGCTGCCGCATGGGATGAGTGGGTTCTGATCTGCATTTTTCACTGTGGGTGTGGAACCACAGGAATAAGTAGTAGTTAATGGACAGTGTAAAGGGGTGATGTGTAATGCCTCTGGCATTACAAGTTAGGAAGTGTGATATTAGTGCCCATTCCATGGTCCCCTGGCCTGGATTGTATCCACCTTCAGATTTTACCATTTTATTCACATAAGCAGAGTGAATAAAGAGAGCTAAGAGATAGGCAGTGTCATCCCAAGCAGAATAACACCACCTGTTAAACTCATAGATTTCAGTGGACTTAAAAGGGCATAACTCTGTTTAGGATGGCACTGTAAGCCATCTTCATCACCTCTGTACATGTTTGCATAGGAAAGGAAACAGATCCTGAGTAATTACAGGGACAAAACTCTGTATGCAAGATTATTAAGTAAAGGTGAAGTTTTCCCTTACTCAAACTAGGATGTGGTGCTCATCTCTGTTTCCAAGTCAAAGAACCAGCACTGTCCGAAGACTTTTTCATGGTCATGTGGCCGGCATGACTATACGTCAAGGCACACAGAATGCTGTTACCTTCCCACCAAAGCGGTACCTATTTATCCACTTGCGGTTTCTTGCTTTCGAACTGCCAGGTTGGCAGGAGCTGGGGTCAGAGACGGGAACTCACTCTGTTACGTGGCACTCGGGTCTCGAACTGCCGAGCTACTGACCTTCCAGTCTGCAGCTCAGTGTCTTAACCTCTGAGCCACTGTGGTTCCTATAACCCTTCTGAAATCAGTGGTTCTGGAGTGGGCAAGCACTTCTCATCTTCCACAGCAAAGACAGAGGCAAAAAATGCATCCAGCTTCTCAGCCGTTTCCCTATCATCCTTCAGTACTCCTTTTACCCCTTAGTCATCCAAGGGCCCCACTGCCTCCCTGGCTGGTTTCCTGCTTCAAATGTATTTGAAGAAAGTTTTATTGTTGGTCTGGCGAAACATCAGGTAGTACAGTGCCAAGACCACGGCCATGCAGCCCGGAAAATCTACAACAACTAATTCCCCCCCCCCTTGCCAAGGTGGGCAAAGTCGGCTGCCAGCAGGAAACCTCCCCTCAGAGCAGGGGGCCTGGCAGCCCTAAGCAGAAAATCCTGTTGGTAGTCCTGGAAATATTGTTCTTTAATTATAAGAGGGAATGTAACTATGGTTCAGAGGAGCTGAATTCACAAAGTGGATACTTACTTTCTCCATCTGGAGTAGATAGTAGTCGATGAAATCCCGTGGATCATGCACTGCCAGTTGTGCCCTATGCGCTTCTGTCTCTTTCCTTGCATGTGAAAGCACAACATCTACAGCGGCAAATGCCTCCTTGTATGGCCATTTGATATGTTTCATGAGCCATGGGACTGCTTCGTACATCTGCAGAAGAAAACAAAAGCAAATCCTGCACATCAGTCAACAGCCTGAGTAGCCCCTTCAGCATCATGAACTGGATTACATTCGAGAGCGAGCATGTGGATTCTCAGTGAACGAAAGACGGCTCCTGGGCCAAGGTCTAAACGACGGGGAGGAGACGTGTGAATGGCATCACGTCTCCTCCCCGTCGTTTAGACCTTGGCCCAGGAGCCGTCTTTCAGGGAGCGGCCAGTTTTACTAGGTGAATAGTAGGACTACATTGCTTAATTCTCAACTGGAGGATGAGGATATCCTTGACTGATGGGTGATTTTCCACATCAGAACAGGAGGCAGGGACAAATCACCGCTTCCTTCGACCACTGGTGGGAGGCACTCTCCTCTTCCATTGGCAGTTCATCCCCTTCAATTGTGATCCCCATATCCCCACCCTTAGGCCAGGGAGATTTGATGGAAACTGTGGCCCAAGATCAGGCCTCTGGAGTCACAGCAGTCATCTAGAGGGGGGAAAAATACCTTAAGACAGAGCATCAATCCATCCATCTATCCAAGAGGATCAAGAATCCTGCACAATTCAGCCACTTTGAGGTTGCAAAGACAGCAGTGCCTACACAATCCTCGCATGGCCAGCAGGGAAGAGCAAACCTATCCAGCTTCCCAAGGCAGACAGAAGGTCCTAGTACAATGATTCTGATGGGGGACCGGGGTGGGGTGGGGGCGGAGTTATTGGAAGGGCTCAGGAATCCATGTCATTTTGGTCTTTTTGTCACTGAGAAAATACCATCATTTGCTGAGTAATTACCAGCAAATGATGGTAAATGTGATGCAAGGTTTGAATCTAACAGAGCCTTTTTGGATGACTTCATTATATTCGCTGCAACTAAAGAGGAACATGAGGAACATCTTCTCAAAGTTTTGCAAAGACTTCAGAAGCAAGGATTAAGAACATAAGAGAAGCCAACGTTGTTACCGGTACGGCGCGTCGACAGGAGGACGCTCGGCTGGTGCCGAGCCCCCTGATTCACTTTCGTTTTCTTTTGGGCGTCCCGCTTGTGGGGAGAGCTCGACCAGCCGTCCCGGTGAGAGGACTGGAGCAGAGGGCATTTTTTTCTGGCCCCTCCCGTGTTTTGACAAAGCGGGGGGGGAGGTGACCGGAATGGCCCTGAAGCAGAGACGAGGGTTGGAAGGAACATGGTTCCCATGCTCCTTTTAGATGCCACCATCCGTCCTTTTTAACTATACGAAGAAGTGAAATAACCACAGCAACAGAGAAAAAGTGTGAGTAAGACTTGCATGGAGTGTTAAGTGGAAAATGGAAAATCCCCAAGTGAAATTGTCCGAAAAGGGGAGTGATGGCGGCCGAGAGTCGTTTGGGACTTAACTGTGGAGTGGAAACTGACATGGGGAAAGAGAAAAACTTTCTGTTGGCGTCTTTGTAGCTTGTTGGATTTGCTTTAAGGACTTACAAAAGGGAAATGACAAACAAAAAACAAAAACAAAATAATAGAATACACGAGAGTAAAGGGGTTGGATTGATTTGAAGAGCTGGCTTAAAATGGAATGCAAGATGGATGCGGAGGAGCAGCTTGACGAGAACATGTATGTTTGTGAGATGATGGTCGAGCAACTCCTTCAAATGGTGAAAGAGGCGGTTCAAAAGGGTTGTGAGAAGGTGTGTGCGAGACTTTGGGGGGGGAAAGGATAACGCTCAGACAGAAATTGAAAAAGTGGAAAAGCAGGAAAAACAGGAGCAACCTAATATGAAGGAGAACTTGGAGGACTGCCAAAAGGAGAACAGCGTCCAGGAAGGGGAGGAAAATTTGGAGTTGGTAAAAGTGAAGGACAATGCAAAAATTCAGTTCTTACAGCGTGAAACAGTGCAAAAAGAGGGAACAAAAAATTGTTAATATCTTGTGCTAAGCTAGGGCTGGCAAAGGAAGAGAAACAACGGATGAAAACTGAAAGAGACAGAAAGGTTACAAGAAGAAAACGTAGGGCTTGGAAATTTAAAGGGAACAACAACAAAATAAGGGAAATAGAATGGTTGAAAACCAGAGAAGAGAGGATTGGAAGACAAAGAACAAATAAAGATAGACGACAAGTAGACATGCTGAGGCTAAAAAGTAGATGGCAAATGATTAGAAGGAAGAACAAACTGTATAAAAGATAGGAAGCCCGGTTTTCTTTGAATATAGGATGAAATGGAAAAGTGACCCTTAACATATCTATCTATATATTTATTTATCTGTTACAGTAGAATGGTGGTGGGATAAACTGTATAAAAGTTAGAAAGTCTGGTTTTCTTTGAATATAGGGTGAGATGGAAAAATGAGTTTTAACCTATTTATTTATGTATTTATTTATTTGTTACAGTAGAATGGTGGTGGGTATAGGAAGGAATGAACTCAGGTGGGATTAGGAAAAGTTAAATAATGCAAATAGTAAGAAGGAGGGGACAATTAAGTTGAGACAAATTAGATTAAGCTATTTATTAATGTTCTTTTTGGTGGGAAATGTTGGCTGAATATAAAACAATCTGGATGATAACTTAAAATGAGTTTGAACAGTAAGGGTTTTTTCTTTTTTCTTTCCCCTTTCCCTGATATGCTTTTGCCCTTTTCTCTTCTTTGGTCTACTTTTTAGATAAAAGTAATATAAGGTTATTAATGAAATGATAATAAAATGAACTCATGATTATAAGAGCAGTTAAAGATTAATTAAAATAAAAGTTAATGAATTGGTATGCTAATGGAATAAGCCATAATACAATTAGAATGATTTGATTTGATTTGATTATGGTAATGGTAAATTTCCAATGATGTGGAGTGATATTAGAAGGTTAAGGGGGGAGATAAGTAGATTCTACTGTAGCATGATCTATGCTGGGTATAGATTAAATATAGCTGAATAAAGATAGGTATAGCCCAGGCAGACAAATAACTGAGAGATAATGGTACAAATAAAAGGTAAAAGCTTAAGAGTAAAAATATGACAGCAACTCCATCAACTTAATATGTTACAAAGGCATTCAGGAGATGTTTAAGGAATTTAAAGTGTGTAAAGATTGAAAGAAAAGTAAAAAATATACTAAAAGGAACTGAATTTAAAAATATGTTAAAGGTTAAACCCTGCTCTCATTTTGGAAACAAAGAGTCAGCAGATTACTGGAGGATGAGAGATGTGTAAAGTTAAGAAAAATAAGATAGTATGAAGGTTCTATATTATTGACAGGAAGGTGGTAATAGTTTTCTGAAAAGTTAGTAAGTAAACTTTTAGGAAATTGCAATAGTAGGTTTTACTCAACACAGAAGAGATATTCAAATGGATGATGAGTTCAAAATATGCATGTAAATGTAGTTTGACTGGTTCATTACTCTGTGCTGATGGTGAAGATAAATGTTGTTATAGGATCTTTTATGTAATCTTGTTGTTGATTTGGTTGATATGTATGAGACAGGCTGATATGATAAACCCCAATAAATATATTGTTAAAAAAGAAGAAGAAAAAGAAGAAGCCAATGTTGGATCAGGCCAATGGCCCATCCAGTCCAACACTCTGTTACACAGTGGCCAAAAATATCAGGGGCCATCAGGAAGTCCACCAGTGGGGCCAGGACACTAGAAGCCCTCCCACTGTTGCCCCCCCTCCCAAGCACCAAGAAGACAGAGCATCACCTGCCTCAGACATAAGAGAAGCCAATGTTGGATGAGGCCAATGGCCCATCCAGTCCAACACTCTGTTACACAGTGGCCAAAAATACCAGGTGCCATCAGGAGGTCCAGCAGTGGGGCCAGGACACTAGAAGCCCTCCCACTGTTGCCCCCCCAAGCACTAAGAATACAGTGCATCCCTTGCCCCAGACTGAGAGTTCCTATCTATACCTTGTGGCTAATAGCCACTGATGAACCTCTGCTCCATATGTTTATCCATATCTTTATGTTTATTGAAGTTGGCCTAAATGTAAACTATTTCAAAAATCAGTGAAATACCTAGGTCACATAATATCAGCACCCAGAATACAGGCAGACAAAGAAAAAACAGCTAGCCAGAGCTCTGGAAAAAGGGCCTCCATTTTCAGGTGGCACAAGGCAGCCCTCCAAGGCAATCTCTAACCTCCCTCTCCACCCAGCAGAGGTGTGTATATGAAACAGCGAGTTCCACCAAGTTAAAGTATCTATATTTCTAAAGGCTATTCAGAGGCCACCTGGCGAATAGCCCTTCTGTCTCCAGAATTTCACCTAGCCCTTTTGTGTGAATCTATGTCTATGTGAAAATCCGATGTCTCCACAACTGTCCTTCCTGCTCCTTCCCTCAGGATACTGAGATAAACCAATCATACATTTAAATGTTTAGCAATCCTTCCTGATGCTAATCATGGACCCATCTCCCACCTTTTGTCTAAACCTGGGAATCTATTCAATCTGCCTTGGCAGGACCATCAGTGGTCATCAAACCCATTCAACCAGGTCCAGTACAGCCATCCAGCACCTGGCTAATCCCATCATCACTATTGTGAATGCAAACTCTGCCCCTCTGAGACCTCATTGTTCACACCAAGGATCTTTCCCGCCCAGGACCCCTCATTGGTCCAGGTAATCGTTTGTCTTCACCTGGGGCAAGCCTCTCAAGGACTCCCAGTGGTCTGCATTGTTTTCCAGTGTCTATATCCATCAAGGCACATGGCCTCAGATTGTGTGTCTGCCCCGAATGCCAACTGGCAGTTTACCCCCCAAACTATGTTTTGGCCATAATCTCATCTCCATAGACCCCTGCACATCTGGACAGGTAGCATTACCCCGCAACTGACCCCTCTATTCACTATCAACCACGCCTGCTTTCTTAGTTCTGTATTGCTTGCTCTTTTTGTATGCTTAGTGTACTTGTAATTAGAGAAATTCTTTAATAAAAACTATTTAATTTACTCTTCAAATCTGGAGTCTTCCTACTGTACCAGACCTTTGTATAAACTGCTGTGCATTCCCTGATACCCCTCTGGTCTCCCCTGCTAATTTCCCCAACAACAAGGTAGGCCATTGGTGGTAACATCCACCAGAGATCAAAATGCAGGAACGGTTGCTACAAGTCTTTGGGAAAATTATATATGCCATTATGGATTTCCCAGGAGGTTTCACAGTGATCAAAATTTAGGGTTTGAGTCAGAACTGGTTATGTAACTGAGTAAAATTGTAGAAACTAAGTAACATACTACACCATATCACCCAACAGGAAACCCAGTTGAGAGGTTCAATTATACTCTTTTGGACATGCTAGGCATCTTGGAAGCAAATAAGAAATCTAACTGGGAAAAGTACATAAAACTACTGGTTCATGCTTACAGTTGTACCAAAAATGATACTACAGGAGAATCCCCCTACTTCTTAATGTTTGGAAGACTACCATTACTACCCAGTGATTTGTGTTTTGGGATAAAGCCAAAGGGGAAAACTGAAGTGACTCATCAGGAATATATAACAGGCTTTGTTATGCATATGATCTGGCCATCCAAGAAACTGAAAAGCATCAGCAAGCAAACAAAAGAACATGAGATGCTACAATCATGAAATCAACCATTTCTACAGGTGACAGAGTTCTAATATGCAATATAAACCCCCGAGGTATGCAGAGTTTAGCTGATAGGTGGGAACCTGTTGTACATATCGTTCTGGATCTACCTGAGGAAAATATTGCAGTAGGGTGAAACTGGAAGATGGCAAAGGTGTTTGAACTTTGCACCAAAGTGTGCTGAGACCCTGTGGATTTATTTCCTCCTTTGAAGACATGAGTGATATGGACATTCCAGAGGATCCTATTCACAGCAGAAAGAGGCAGTAATCAACTGATCTTGTGGACTCAGTAGGAGAAGAAGAATTCACATTAGAGTCTAGCTTCCTTTCAGACCTGAATCCCTGAGCAATGGAATTCACCCCAAACTCCTCTTCTGAGGAGGTTAATATAGCTCAAAATCTTTGCAAGAAAAAGGAAGAAAAAGAAGAAATTATGCTGCCAGAGTCACCAGTTGTGGTTCCTCCCCAGTACAGTGACCCTGGGGAAATTGTCTACCTCCTAGGCCTAAAAGAGTTTGAACCAAGCCTGCTAAGCTAAATAATTATGTTCTGAGATTTCCAGTGGGGTCAGCCAGAGTTAATTTTCAACAGTGTAATATGTAATTGTTTAATGTTTCCATTAGTCCTAATTTTGTAGATACTGTTGAGATGGCAGAATTTTAGTGGGGGAGAATGTAACCCCTAGCTAGGAATGGAATGAGCCAGGAAAGGGTGGAGCCTTTAGATGCAGAAGGGTGCAGAATGTGTAGAAACCAGAAGAGGGAAGTAAGACTGCCCTGTCGGGGAGCTTGAACCATAATCATAGGCTTTTAACACCTTGCTTAAGGTAACCATAATCTGTGTATGGAAAATGTCCCAATCTAAATTGTAAATTTTAGGAATTGTTTCAGCGCCGTGTTCTCTAATGGGGAGTTCATTTGGGACTCTCATCTTCGAAGCTGGTGCATAACCATGATGATAGCTGGCATCGGGGTTCTGCTCCCCGAGATGGCGCCGAGGCAGCTGCTCTGACTTTTAACGCTATGCAAGTTATCTGCTGGTGCGCAGAGTGTTCAGCTGGAGACTTCCTGGGCCACCGACAAGAGAAAAGAGATGGACTTTGGGAGAGGCAAGCTGTGGGGAAAGTTAATTGTTCGAATTTCAAAAGGTCATCGCTCTGTTGTGTTACAAAGTTCTGTGTTTTCTTTACATGACATGATGTTAAGTGGAAAGTAAAAAATGTTTCATTCTCTTTGCATTATCGCAAGGTTTATTACAAGTTGTGCCCACCAGAACCCACAAACTGAGGTTGCAGCGTCTCACTCCAGAAGATAATATTCCCTCTCAGATGCTGGACCGTGACATGAACACAACCTACTTGGTTGCCAAAATTCTGTCTAGCATATTTTCCTTTAGTAAATAATGTATTATTCTTTTAGTCATTGCTCAAGATCCTTTCCTCACAGGAGTTCTGAAAAGGAAAGTAAGTAAGAAACACCTCTGCCTGTGACCCTGGAGAGTTGAAGCCCGTTTGGCTAGGCAGTACTGACCTTGAGAGACCAATGGCCTGATTCAATAAATGGTAGTTTCATGTACAAAACCCCTTCTCCCAGCACTACTTTATCATCTATGCAGTGAGAAGCCCTAATGTCTCCCCAAGACAACAGGAAGGCAAAAGACTACTCACAAGATGAAAGAAGGTACCTCCAAATTTATTGTTGTAATCATTAGCCTCCACCAGCATGAGGAAATCTTTATCATCAACAGGATACCGATGTCCAAAAACCAGAGCACATATCACATTGAAGAATGAAGCAAGGATGGATGACGAGGGGTCAAGTGGCTGCCCTGCAAACCAAGGTATATGCAAAACATTCACAATAGTTATAACTCTCTTGTGTTGTTTTTTTTGGTAAACAAACTTTTTATTTTTTTCAATAGGAACTTAACATCCAACAATATTCATTTTCATTTTCCCTTTGTTTACCCCGTTCCCCTTACCTCCCCTTCTTCCCGTGGCTTCCCGCAATGCTTCCACCCTTCCACCCACATTGTAATACATCATCAGCTATATCATTTTTCTTATTGCTACTATTTCCAGATAACATCAATTTCCTAATATTGTTCTAAACATATTAAATTTTGTTTTACATCCCAGTTCTTTTCCAGATATTTTTTAAAGTCACTCCATTCTTCTAAAAATATGTCGTCTTCCTTATTACTCAGTTTTTTTGTAATTTTATCCATTTCAGCCATGAACAGAACTTTTTGTATCCAGTCTTCGATCTCTGGTACTTTTTCATTTTTCCAAAATTGTGCATAAATCATTCTTGCTGTTGTTATTAAGTACCAGAGTAAAGTTTTTTTCGTCGTGTTGACTTCTTCCATTTTAAGTCCCAAAAGCAGAATTTCAGGTGCTTTTTTAAAAGAGCATTTCAGTATCTTTTGCATTTCACTGTGGACCTTTGTCCAATAGTCCACCACTTTTTCACATGTCCACCACATGTGGTAAAATGAGCCTTCATGTTTTTTACACTTCCAACATTTGTTTGACATATTCTGGTTCATATTTGCAATTTTCTTTGGGGTCATGTACCACCTATACATCATTTTATAACAGTTTTCTTTAACATTGGTACAGCCCGATATTTTAATATTCCCAGGTTTCAATATCAATTTCTTTATTCATATTAATAGCCCATTTTATCATCTGCTCTTTTACTGTTTCCTTCTCTGTATACCATTTTAACAACACCTTGTACATTCTAGAGATATTTTTTCCCCCTCTACTCTCCCAAAAAT